CAGTCTGACCGGAGCCCTGACCGTCTACTGCGCATGCTCAGGAAGGGTCAAATTCCTTTGTCCTTGTTATCGTCCCAGGTTCAGGATCTTTGGTCCAAACCAGCGACGGACAAACGAAGCTTTGAATCTTAATTAAAAACAGTTCATTGCTATTTTAAACACAGGCCTCTGGTGACACCTGGCGGACAAACATATGAAGAGCAGCTTGAATCTGCCTCAGTGTGACTCTGTTCTCTCTGCCCACTGTTATGTCTATTTTTGTAATAAATCATTTTGATGATTAAACCTTCCTTCGTTAAACGTGTGTCATGGTTCTCCTTTCGCTGGTGACTTCTTGTTACTACTAACACCAGGCTGGGAGTATGTCTGTGCTGTGAGGTCCCTGCTTCACGTCATTATGCAATTAACCAGCAGACACATATGTTTATATAAAATACACTAAAACTTCTATAACTGTGCATTTCTTTTGTGCATTTTACACCTGGGAGCAGAATTGCTGATGAACTGGTTTTTATTTAGGACCAGGCAGAGCGTCTGGCTCCATGTCTCTGATCACTGATTCACTATCTGTCGCACAGAATCACCAAAACACAGCAAAACCCCACCAATGACCCACTTCCTTATAAACCATTAAATCAGGCACTGAAGCAGCCACGTGCTGAATGTCACTGATCACGTGACTATGTTCAGATGAACCACGCCTCGGCCATGTTTCTGAAGCAGCGCTTTGATGTTTTTCAACTTCAGCTTCAAACATTTATTTATCAACACGTTCAGTTCCAAATATTAAAAACATTGTTTTTAACACTCAGATTTGTCAGAGTTCAGACCTGAAACAAAAGTTTTTCCACAGCAGTCCAGAAAATTCTGAATACCTCAGCTGGAAATCCCAGAAATGATGGATAGTCAGTTTAAATGCTTCCCATCAGGAGAGGACCAGAACATCTGTGCTGGGAGGAAGTGTCTGTGAGGCAGTTCTTTATTTTAAGCCCCTCAGGTGACATGTTTCCTGGATGAGAAGCCTGTGTGTGTGTGTGTGTGTGTGTGTGTGTGTGTGTGTGTGTGTGTGTGGGCTGAGGCCAAACCTGTTTGTGGAACTGTGTCCACATCTGAGAGAAAATCCACCCATGCACTCATCAGGTGTTTGCTCCTGCTTCCACTCCTGGTTTTTCTTGGACTGTCATAACATAGTGCATTATGGGACATAAAGTGGTCGCCATGGTGGCCTGCTGCATTATAAACTGTCACAACCGCACACTTGACCAGAAGGGGACCCCCAGGGAAACGGCGTCAGATTTTTCCAGTTTCTCATGTGGAAGCAGCAACAGGGACCCGAGATCTCTGAGCTCACGAGGAGGTGGCGTACGGCCTGGGTGGAGCTGTGAGGTGGAGAAGCCTCACCTTCAGAGACTTCTTCATAAACACGTTGGTGCGCTCGCAGCACTTTCACGCCGGTGAGGCAGATTAAAATTAGCCTAGAATCTTGTAATCTAGGCTCAGCTGTGACCTCAGCTAAAATGCATTTACGACTCCCTGATAGGTCAGCAGGTGATATCCTTCACTTCCATTGGTAGTTATTTGCTTTACTCACCTGAGACTTGAGAGCGGTTTAACTCTGCACTCGTACACCTGCTGCTGCTTCAGTCATGAATTTGACCAACGGTCTGTAGTCGTTGCGTGGCTTCAGATCGCAGCTCTGGGATGACTGATGGATGCCTCATGGTCCTCGCACTTCTCACCTGATGCGCTCCCTTTGGAAACTCTTCATCTGAAAACTGGGTGGTAGCCCGAGACCCGACCATCATCAGCTCTCATCGCTGGATGAGCCACTGCAGGAAGTTTAGCTGGTCTGAAACAGAAGTTTGACGTCCGTCGTGAAACCCCCAAAACACACACAC